CCAGACTAAGTGAACAGGGAAATAATTGTCCAGTCCTGACTTTCCATTTGTATTCCCATTTAATCTCCAAAACACAATCTTTTAATGCTTTCCACCAAAACCTTTGTCCATGCATTCATTTCTACTCAGAATGCATAAGAATAATAATTAGCAGTGAAAAATAAGGGGAAGAATGGTACAGCTAATCACTTTCCAGTATTAAAAAAGGCAAATCAAATAAACAACATCCAGATGCTTTCCCCTGCTAAAATTACCTACGAAGTCCTTACTTTTGATTACAAAAATAAACCCCCAAACTATTATTATGGAATTAAAGCTTACAATTTCTGAACTACTTAGAAACATGATTTGAGAATATAAAAGCTAATGGGTGCTTACATTACCTACCATCATTAAACAGTTTAACCTTTTATAGTAGTTCAGCTCATTAAAAAAAAATAGAAGGATTATTAGGGAGAATAAGCAAGTTGCTCTACAATGGTGTCATCTCCCTCCTAGCCACCTGGCAGAGAGCAGTACACCTACTAATGAAGGCATTGTGCCTTCAAGCTGGAATTAATAGACCTTCTCAGAGCCCTACAACCTACCCATGCTGAAGCCTTGGTTCTTCTCTAGTTATAGAAGTCTTGCCTGGGGAGAGGCTGTGGAGAAAGATGAGCAAGAGATTTGACTCTGTATGGTCTTTGAGGACAACAACAGTAAGTACACCTCTAAAATGGAATAAAGGTATTTCAGGGTTGGTGAGGCCAAGAGCTGAGTCCTCTGTAGATGGCTCTGAATCTTTCTGTGGCCTGAGTCACCACGTTTTCTGCTTAGGTGGAACAATAGCTCACTGAGGAGATTCTGTCCATCATTGCTGAACAGAAGATGAAGTAAGAAAACCATTCCATGGTTGCTTTCTCATGTTTTTTTTTCTTTGGTAATGACCAAACTAGACACAACTGGAAAAAAGGAAGGGGAAAAAGCAGAACTACAAAAAAGTAATATAAGGCAGTGAGCGCCCTTTCACAGTGATTCTCTTCTGCCTTCTCCTCTAGATCCCTTCTTTTATGAGTGCAAACAGTGATGGTTATGTAGCCATAGGTTTAGCTTGCAGAAAAAGTTACAGCCCAGGACCCTAAGTTTGAATTTCCCAGTACAACATACAAGTCAGAGTGCTGAAAGAAAGCTGCCTCCAACATCAAACTAAAAAGGAAACAGGAGTCTGATCAAATAAAGGCTGAGTATAAACACAGTCCCAAGTGGTACCTTAGAAAAACTTTAAAAGTTCTTCAGTAAAAAGATGCAGTAAAGAAAATAAAAGTTTTCTTTTGCTCCCCTTCCCTCCCTCCAAAGTTTGTTTTCCCTTGCATAAAAATAACCTCATTGGAGAAAAGTGAATTGTGGGCAAAGTTCTCTAATAGCAAAAGCAGTTTATTCAATTTTATTTCTGATGCTCAAATTCTATGCTTTCTCTGGTCCTCGCATCCAGTCACCATGGCAACAAAAGTGCTGTAAAATCCTCTGCCCAGTCGATAATCATTTAATCATTTAACAACAAAACAGACTGGGAATGGGAGAGTGGATTAGTGGAAAACACCAAAAAGAAAATAAACTGGTATAAGTAAAAAAAGCAACAAACCAAAATCCAAAAAACAAACCCCCAAACAATTCCTCCCCTCCTAAAAAAAACCCCACGGGGAGCAGAAGTAAAGACAAATGGCTTGCAGGATCCCTGTGTCCACACTGGGAGTAGGTTTGATCCTCTCATTATGCTCCTTCAGACACAATGGTGCCTTTTCCCCCACAGAAACCTGCATGCTGTCCTTTGAATAACTGAAAAATCCAGAGAGAAATCCAGAAGATCTGCGCTAAGAGCCCTGAAAATGAGCAAAGAGCAAAGGATGCTCCTAACCAATAAAAGCCACATCCTAGAGTTTGTCTTATTTCTTCCTTCTTGTCAAAAAAGGAGGTCTGGGCCTACAAGGTATTTCAATAGGAAATCTCTGAAATGCTGAAAGTAACCTACTGGGATGCTGCCCTGAAGCAGAAGTCCCTGTCACCTTTAAGCAGCAGGGCTTATGCTCCCCTGATGATAACAGGAGTATTGTTGAGCAGCTGTTAGCCTGGATCAGGATGCACTCCCTCCCCTAGAAGAATAACACCATTAGAGGCAATTTTCCATCAAGGTGGAAACTCTCCTACCAGACAGATATAAACATTTCTTGCAGCATGCTCTTGCTCCTGACACCCACAGAAGGTGAAGGCATGTTCAGCTCTGAATACTGTGGCAGTTATGTCTTTGTCCACACTAAATCTGTGACTGGGGTGGAGCTACAGGATGCATGAGACATGAAAGTGGGGGCATCAAAGGGGGTTGTATGCAACTAGACAGATATAGTGCACTGGCAGTGCTGCATAGGCAGGCTGCTACAGCAGGAAGCCACAGGACCTCATCTCCTGCACAAGCCCTCAATATTCACAGCACATGCTGCTCCTGCTGCTAGCAATACCCCAGATGTAAAATAAAGAAAACCTCCTCAAAAGAAAAAAACAAAATTAACAAAACAAGCCCCAAAACACTGAGAAAAAAAAAAACAACCCAAAAAAAACCCCAAACAGCAAACATACATAAGGGACAGTATATTTATCAGAACATCCAGGTCAGCTCACCATCACCAGGTCAGTCTACCCATCAATCTAGATACGGACATGGAAGCTATCAAGGTAGCCAGTGATTTAACTTAACTTACACTTTCCCCTTATGCTGAGAACTGCATCTATATAACAACATTTCACTAAACAATGGTTTTATCTGTTCACATTAACTCAGTGGGAATGGAAATCATTTTTGAACCTTTATGCTAGAAGTCAACAGCCCCTGTGTCACTGGTAGCCCATTTGATACGGGAAACTGTAAATTATCAAATGTTCTTGATGTACCCTTGGCAAAATGTTGCATCCCAGAGAAGGTGGTGAGGAGAGGGAAGAAATTTGTGTGACAATCTTGGCTACTCATGCCTGCCAGAGGAGAGCAGCTTTGCTCTTTAATGGATATTATTGCAAATACCTCATGAAAAATACCTTCCAAGTATGCCTATAGCAGGGAAAGGCACAGAATTTTTACATGGCACTGAACTGATAAGGCCTAATATTTTTAAAATAATTGCTATTTCTCAGGTAGAAATAATGTATCTTCAGGCTTTTCAAATTATTTGTAATGATTTCTCCAGGGTGCCACATCATCGTCATCTCGGTATTCAGTGCAATTACCCAAACATACCTCTTAGATAGGAAAAGCTGCATTATTCCCACCGCAAAGAAAGTGAATTGCACACTACAAATTTCTCCTTCAAACCCAACATACACAAAGGTCACTTGTACTACTGGGAATAGAGGCTTGAGTTTTGCTTACATTTTGCAGTGCTTTCATCACAAACCTTCCCTTTGCAGCATAATGGAGGGAAGGTTAGCATTCATCCGCCTCCGAGCTTATCCCAAAAGGGTCTTCTTCATATATGCTTGCTTTATAATTCAGGACAGTTTGAATGTGGATCTATATTCATTGATAATCCATTGCCCAACAAAATAAATGCCAAATAGGACAACTCCAGAACTAGGGATCTTCGGATTTAGCTCCCAGCCTCAAGTAAACAACCAGATAAGATTTCTATTTCTGTAGCCTCTAGATTTGCCTTGCTTCACTCGTAACTTTTTTCTGTAAGCCAAGGACATGTCAAATCTAAATTCTTGTCACAGATGTTGAGGTGAAAACAATGGCAGGTACAGATCCGTGGGAATCTTCAATGTGATCTGCAGTCTTTGCTCACATATATTTATGTAAAATTGGTGTGCATAAGGGCTTCTAACATGGCTTTCTTTAGTACCTACCCCTGACCTGAAGTGCACAACTATATCACAAGCTTAGACAGATGTGCCATACTGTACCTGAAATGCAAGTAACCATTCAAGCAGCTTTCCCCTGCAAGCCCCCAAGTGTTTCACACTTGCAAACCTCATCAAAGAATTTCAGCAAAAGTTGTCTCAATTCTTCCAAAGCCACCCAAACAATAACATTCAGCTCCATGCCAAGCCCAACCAAGACCTAGTTGATAACTTTCCAAAGCAGGCAAACCACAGTGCAATCTGGGGTCTGTAAATTCTGATTAATGTCTGATGCCGCGTACCCCGCAGTGGCAGCAGGCTCAACAACTGTTCGGACAAAAGAGGTGGGAGGGACTGGGTTGGGCACGGTCATTTCCATGCAACCCTTGCAGTGTGGCAATTCAGGCTGGGGCCACCACAACCAGCAAGAGAACACATGCATGAAATGAGCTGTAATCTGTACAAGTAAAAGCCTCATAACCAATCACAACCTTATAGCATACAGATGCCTGTGCTGCAGAGCAGTGCAGAAATGCACCATTCAGCCTTAGCTAACACATTTAACTTTTTGGGAGGGTAAATTATCAGTGCTGAGCTCCATGCTGCAGAGTCTGAAGTGTTACTGTAACCTGAACTAAATTCTTTAAAGTGCTTTCCCATCTTTCTGCACTGGATTACATTGTGATACACAGACATCCCTTGTCTTACCTTGCACACATGCAGGTATCTCTTTAGCAATTAAAATCACTGCTCTAAATATTTTACTTTCACTTTTTACCTTTCATTCTTCATTTTGGATTTTCTAAAAGTTGTTCCCACTACCTTTTACCATTTTTCCCCTAGTTACTCTCTTCTTACTTATATATGTGGGAGGGGAGAGGCAGCTTCCAAAAAAGGAAAATATACTGCTCTAAAAATAAAAAAATAATTAAAAAAAATAAATCAGTCTGTCCCCAAATTTGTAAGGTGAGTAAAAAAAAAAAAGAAAGATAAATCTTGCCTCTTTTACTTGCCTTTTGAGCTTCACACCTTAAAAATACACTTAGGTTAGAATTCAGAGATTTCCCCCCACACACAATCCCTGGACAAAGAAAATTACTAAAAAGTAGTTTTTACCAAAATATAGATTTCCTTACCTAGTCATTTGAGTCCAGAAACCCAAGCTTTCAGCAAAACAGCAGGTCATGCAGCAGTTCGGCTAAAGTCACAAGAAAATGGCAAGAGTACTAATATTCTACACCTGATTTATAGCTCTGGAGGAAGAGGGCAACAAGAAGGTAAGGAGAGAATATCAAGCACGTGGTTAAAATCAACCACTTATTCCTTTCACCTGCTTCTATTTCTTTCTTTCAGCTGTGTTATGGAGCAGACAACAAGAAAATCAAGGATAAGCAAAAGGGCACCAACCTGTAGTCAAAGACACCAATATAACTTCTCATAAACTCTATCTTTTTGTACTACAAGTATTTTTTAATGACCACTGTCAGGCACAGGATATTGGGCTATTCAGACCTTCGACCTAACCCAATCTACATTGGGTCACCAATATACTGTCATCATATTACAGTCTTATAAAGCCAATGTGGACTCTAGATTATTATTACTGTGATTTTACTGTGTGTCTGTCACGACCAGATTGACTGGGTACTACACAGAAACAGAAAGAGAAAAATTATTTCTGCTTCAAAGTATTATACTCTCTAGTTAGCATCTGGCTCTTTTTTTTTTTGTGTGACTTAAGGAAAAGTTGGAGAGGAAAAAGCTTCCCTGTATTCTCATTGGCAAATGTCATCTTCAATGTACTGAAAGGGAAATTCCACAGATTAAGTGTAGGCAGAAGTGGGTAGTAACCTCCCTCCATACACATAAATCACAGCTTGTCTTTTGCTCTCCAAAGGCAGGATTCACCACTAAATCCCACTGGGAGAGGGCGTGCCATCATTTCTTATGCAGGTGGACTTTGCTAGATGCAGCAAAGGCTAAAAAAAGTTTGGCTTGATGTCCAACTAGCCTGTGCTTCTGTAAGAAGTTAATTGGTCCCAGTATCACGCTTACATGACTGTCTCCTGTTTTCTCAGACAGCCTGACTTAAGTCCCCACAAACCAAGGAATTTAACAGTTAGCACACTGAAGCATCTTCATAATTGGAGAGGAGCTGGCTGTATTGTAACGCAGCTGCTTACCGCTCCAGTGGGATAAAACAAAATAATTAAGAGCAAAGATACCTGATATTTAACTAGTGCTGTATTTAAATAACTCACTAGTGCTATCTTATAGTAAGACAATTGTCTACTAAAATATAAGCAGTCATTTCACATAAATAGAATTATTCCTACCTATAATTAAAAATTACTCCTCGACATTTAAACATTTCAGAAAATTACTTCATTGCAGAACACTTCCATTTAACTTTACCCACTCAGAAGTGCAGCCACTTCTACAAGAGGTTCACTCCATAATGGCTCAGCCTATGGAACAGGCAGCCAGAGAAACAGCACAAGAAGTGCATTCCTTTGAAACTACAAGAGGAGTTTTGCTGGGGCAAAAGCTCATTCTCTAAGCTGGAGTGTCCAAGACACTGGACTTAAAACCCTAAATCAAGTGAATACCTGTAACATTTCACTTTGTTAATAGCCATGTAATTAATCATTTGCCTTTTTTACAGCATTACACAAATCGCACATCAAGTTGGCTCAGACAGGTGGGGAACAGAGCTCTATTAATATTGATGTAATTTTTCAGAGGAAATTTTATTTAAACCCAATTACAACAAAATTCGCAGTATTTGATCTCTTACTACATAAAGAAATCCAACACCTGTATATGTTAGTATGTCAGAGACATTTAGAAATAAAAGATAAAGGTGAAAAATGCGCTTTGTTCTCATTCCTTTTCAGTTAGGTAGGTTTTCAGCATAGAGAAGTTTCCCGGTTTTATGGATCATGGCTGTAACAGATGAAATCCCTGTGCAGAACTGAATTTATTTTTCTTGCAGAAATAACATTTTACCAGTTGTGCCAGGAGATGGCAAGTTTTATGTGCTTATTTCAACTGAAAACATCTGCACTAGATAATATAAGCTGCTGGGTCACATGTTAAATAACACTATTATATGTGACTGCATATAACAGCTGTTTTGCATCTTCTTTATTATGGTTTGTAACTAAGCAGAATTGGATCATTAATTGAAGCTGCTGTAACATTAAGCCTTAATGCATTTATACTTCTTACTTTTTCAATTAAGGTCTGATTCAGTTAAGTACTTGAATATGAGCCATTGCCAGAAATATAACTCGGGTACCTACACTGCAACTCAAGTACGAAAGGTATTGTCAAAGCACCTGTTTGCCTCCTAAAATCTCAGATGCCCACAGATTTTTTACATGAAAACTTCAAAACCATCCAGTTTTCTTTTAGTGAATACATCAGTGCTAAAGGGCTCCTTGCCAAAAACTATGTGCATCTTCTTTGAACTGATAATTTCTGGAGGATTGTCTAAACAGAGTTTGCAAAGCTGTGTTGCCAAAGCAGCCTAGATGCTGGGTGAAGTCTGCAAGGGTGGCAAAACATTCCTACAACACAGGCCAACTCCCAACACCATCGGTGTCACCATTTGCATCTTCCCAGCTAGGCACATACTTGGGCACCACGCTGGAATCTAGGTAACTGTGGTTACCCAGCCAGGTTTTTCAATGAGTGGCTTAAAATCCAACATGCCTGAAAATGCCAGCATTTGGTCTTGAGCAGATGCTAGAATTCTAATGAAAAATTAGCATACGCCCCACCACATTAAGACTACTTATATTTGAGTAAATTATAGAGAAAACAAGTGTGGAATGGAAGAAGATGCTTCGTGTCTCATTTGTCCTAGGACTTCTAAAACAGTTAACAACTACATTCCAGTTACACCAATTAGTGAATTGTTCAGAACTGAATCTTTCTGGCTTCCTGATTCTCACTCACTTACAAAGTAAATCTGGAAATGTTTTTCTAGATAAGAGTTACATCAATGTAAGAATGGTGCGTTTGGCCCTCTTCCCAAATATTTATTAACACTGGATTCAAACACATCCCATTGCATGATAACAGATTAATGGGTTGAGAAAAAATGAAAACATCTCAGAAAGCAATGTGCCTTCTATAAACACTTGGCTACAACCTATGGGAACAGGTTTCAAAAACATGGATACAATCTTATTCAACACAACATGTTAACCAGGAATCTTCTCATCATAGTATATATATAGATGGTTTTCTTCTGCTAAATGAAGGCATCAATGATGTAGCTCATAGTGATTTACTTTTCTGGAAGTCTATATTGATATAGATAAGCTCATGATTTGAAGTTACTAAAGATATCCCCACCCAACTTCTCTGCCAGGCTGCTAGGAGCAGAGATAATAGATTGTCTTCTGCTTCATCAATCTAGATTGGTTCTATTCTAACAATTACAGAAATAAAAGGTGCAGAACAATGAAACAAGGCATATTATTGTACCAGATGGTCCATTTTAGAACAATTCACACACAGGTCTAGAATAAGCTGTGGCTCTGATACCCACTAAATGCATTTGCAGACTGTTCTAATAGTTTCAGTCCAGTTTACTTACTTTGATTAGGACTGAAGAACCGACACATTTTTATGTGTTGGTTGCTCTCAGCATTTAATCCCGTTTGTTTAGCAGCATTATAACTTGCACTGGCAAGAGTTTATTCATTCATTTTAACATTCATATGGGTGACCACTGTAATTGTTTCACTATCTCCATATCCATCATAATGGGATCTCAGCAGGATTTTCTCTTAGTAATCTCACTTTATAATTAGGAGTATCATATCCAGTCTTCTAAACAAACTGGCAGATTTGCAACCAGTATAGCGGTTGCATGTAAATCATTTTAAGTTCATTCCCAAGTTAGCAACCTGTGAAGCCCAGATCCAACAAGTGCTCAAATGTATTCATGGTATCTATTTAACATGCACCAAAACGAAGTCTTCCCCACTTCTGAATAACAAAAGAGGTTTTGTTTAGGACTCACAACATGGTTCTTCATTTCCTCTACTCCTCCCAAGTCACTCTGCATTAAATAATATTGGCTTGATATTCAATGTGGTACTACGTCACTCAATGAACCACCACATAACCCAACCTGTCATCGTCTAATACACTGGGAGAGAAAATACTGGAAAGCATTTTCATAAAGTTGTTTTCTTTCAGGTTGGGTACTTGCTGCTATTGAGCTGGATTTTAATTCCAAGTTAAATTTGGGCAGCACATAGATATGTCTGGCTTCATTGGGATTGCCCTTCCCAAAACAGATAGCTCACTGTCATATCCCCATACTATTTCTGAGCCATCTGTTGCTAGGATTTTTTGCTTAATGCATTCTTTATGGTGAAAGAATGTGCATGCATTATGTTTTCTTTCTTACATTCTCTTACTTCTTATCAGTTCATTCAATAAGAAATATGAGAGTCCTGTAAAAAGGGCAGTAAAACAATGTTCTGTATTAATGCTACTCAGGAATGAGATTTCCTCTAACATTTGCACTCTCCCTGAAATTAACTAAATATGCAGAGGATTGCAGGCCAAACCCAGAGACAGCTAAATGATCCTGATTTAACAAGTACTATTAAAAAGAGGGAGAGGACTCACTGGTAATGGAATGGAGAGGTTCTGCATCTCTTTAACACAGCTGCCGAGTACATTCTGAAATGCCATAGAATAACTGTGGATGAGGAAAAGGTTGATATCTGTCTCTGGGAGGGACAAACAAGCTGCCATAACAAAGCATGAAGTCAGCAAAGATGTCTAAACTATCATGGGCTACACCATGACAAAGAAAGGACAGCACAATTTATTGGGAATCAAATGCCGTTCTACTAACAAAATTTTGGCACCGAGTATGCTCCTTTTACCATGTCACACTGATTTAAGGGGAATAAATTGCACCACCTAATTAAAAAGAGCACAGATAATACTAAAAGAGGCAGGGGTAAAGCTGACACTGAGGAGCTGTAATTTGCAACAAAAAAAAACCCTGGAAATCAAAAGCCTGCTGGCAAGGCATCCACTGAAGTGAACGAGGTGACACATACATGTACTGTCAAGAGGGCGCCAATGCATCAGCTAGTGTTACAGTCTACTATTTTACTCAAACAAGATTCCAGGGCTAGGAAGAAAGTCAGAGAGTTCAACAATGAAACTTTTCTGTTGGCTCATCAGAAATTAAACGCTCTGCAGGCAAAGGATTCAGTTTCTGCAAGGATCCATACTTAAAAGAGTTAGTTGTTTTCTTGTCTATTATTATTATTTTTACCGTTGAAGGTATTCTGGTTCAAAAGGGCTGCTCTGACACACTGCAACACTGGGAAACACAGTTGGGAAAGGACGCTGCGCTCTGAGTTGCTA